AAAAATCTAATTTTAAAAAAATTAAAATAATATACAGGAGCGCTCATTTGAAGAGCGCGCCTGTAAAGTAACATACAGGAGTGCTCTTCCAGAGAGCACTCCTATATGGTTCATACGAGAGCGCTCTTTAACAGAGTGCTCCGGTATGATCGAGCATACGGGAGCACTCTTTATAAGAGTGCTCCGATATGGTTGCATACGGGAGCGCTCTTGTAGAGAGCGCTCCTGTGTGTGATGTGTGGGAGCTCCCTTACGGGAGCGCTTTTCAAAAAGCGCTCTCATATAGCGTACATACAAGAGCGTTTTTTTTAAGCACTTCTATAAATTTTGGAGCGCTGGATACGGGAGCACTTCAAAAGCACTCCTTAGGGTAAAAAAAAATGCTCCTATAAACTTATTTTGTAGTAATATGTATGTTAATCATTGGGTATTTACAAGTACAAATTTATTTATTTTAGACTTAAGACATCTTATAGTGCATAAGTCTGTCTAAAAGAGGGTTCTCCCCAGCCGTTCGTCCAAGTGATTGACTGAAGCTAGTGCCACATAAATAGGAATCCAATCCAAGACTAGTAGAAAACCATACCCTGTGGCCAGCATGAAGTATCGAGCAATATTTAATATATACTGCGATTTGATGTTAATGACATCCTTCATCTCAGTTTCTCTTCTCGTAGAATTAATCCATCAACATTTTTTAAGTTGTAAACTCACTCAATTGCACAAATTTGATTTGCATAGAGAGAGGAAAGGAGCCAACTTTTGGATTCGTCATCCATCAGAATAATATATGAGTGTTCCTCATCCGAAGGAGGAGGAGGAGGATTCGAAGACAGAGAAAAGGAGAGAAAAGGAAGAGTGCTTTTTCTTTTTCTCTTTTAATTATGGGAATTTTGGTTAATTTACGAAAACTATTATTTACAATCAAATCCCCAGGGACCTCAGCCATTTGTAGATTTGGTGGAATTTACCAGCAGTTTAGTATACTTATAAAGGACTTTAGAGATTTTTTTTCTCTTTTGGGCTACACTTTCCAAATTCATTGTATCACTGGTCTATATATATATATATATATATATTAATAATCGGTTATATAATTGATTTAGAAAGTTATGGACTTTCTAACATGTCCTTACCTAAGCTAGTTTTTGAAGTGGTTTAGAAAGTAAATTTCACCAAGTTTAAAAAAACTTCTTATTATTATTATTATTATTATTATTATTTTGTACTGGTGTTTTTAACTTCCACTTTTGTCTCTCGTCTATCAAATGGCCCGACATAAGGTAGTGAAATTATGCACACGTTTTAGTGGTACAGATTGAGAAGTAGACGATGAAATTTTTTGTCCTGTGTGCTTGTGACACTATTTAAGTATCGATAAATGAACAAATTCTTCCCTAAACTTTAAGTCTAATAGCATCATATATATACCCTGAACTTGTTTATGCAAATTGTTCGCTTAAATTTTAAAAATAATGCAATCTAGCTCCTCTTTTTAATAAAAGTTAACTTTAACCATTAGTTGACAATAAAATGATAGAAAATGACCTCAAAATTTATTAAAAAAAGGACCATAAAATAACAATAAATGATCCAAAAAATTACGGAAAAGGACAAAAACTTTTTGGTCCTTTTGTATAATTGTTGAGGTTATTATTTGTCATTTAATCAACTAACGGTCAAAGTTAACTTTTATTAATGGTAGAGCCCAAATTTTGCTGTTTTCAAAAGTTCAGAGAGCATTTTACAGAATAAATAAATTTAGAGCCTATGGTACTATTGTACATAAAGTTCAAGGGTAATTCACTCATTTACCGTTTAAATATTTGTACAAATTTTGAGTTCATAGATTCAATTTTTGTCAAAATTATATTATTTAAGATCATAAGAGGTAAATGATGAGTAGTTAAGTTGATATAGTATAAAGGATTAAATGATATTTTTGCCCTTCAATTATTCATGCAAGAGTGTTTGATAGCCTGCATTTTTTTTATAGTGCAATATTCCCCTTCAAAAAATAAAAATGATTCAATGTTGTCATTAATATTAACAAATATTAACTATCATCAATATTTGACTTAAAAATTATTTAAAAAAAAAGGATGCAAGAACTACAAAGTAATACCGTATAAGAAACTTACTTAGTAAATCCCACTATGTAAAAGACCAAAATAACATTTTGTCCAACCACTTTGATAGGCGCCATCAAATGATTATCGGCTCATCATGGTTGGCAACAACACTATGAATTAATTAAAAAATATATATGTTATAATGGTGTCTTATATTAAAGTTACACAAGATATGTATGAGAAGGTAAAAATTAGTATGAGAACGTCTAGTGGTCAAACAAAAGATTTTTCTATAAATATTGGACTATATTAGGGATCATCTTTGAGTCTTTATCTATTTAACTTGGTTCTAAATGCTTTGACGAAACATATTCAAGAGGAAGTTTCCAAATGCATACTCTTTGCGGATGTTATAGTTTTTATAGTAGAGATAAAAGAAGAAATTAATTGTAAACTTGAGTTATGGAGGAGGACATTAGAGTCGAAAGGTTTCTATCTGAGTAGGAGTAAGACATAATATTTATATTATAAATTTGGTAAGACACTAGTCGATAGTAATTTGGAAGTGAATTTGGGAGATAAAATTATACTTCAAGTGAAAAAGTTTAGATATTTAGGAGCCAGTATTCAAAATGATGGCAAAATCAGTGGGGATATTTTACATAGAATTTAAGTTGGGTGGTTTAATTAGAGAAAAGCTAAAAGAGCTATTTGCGATCATAAGATACCTAATAAACTTAAAGACAAGTTTTATTGTATTGCTATCAGACCGACTATGTTATATGGTAGTAAATGCTCGGCTCTAACGGGACAGCAAAAGATGAGAATGTTATGATGGATGTGCAGACATATACATAAAGATAAAATTCGAAATGAGCACATACGTGAAAAAGTGGGGGTAGCATTTATTAAGGAAAAAAATGGTAGAAAATCATTTGAGATGATTTGGGCATGTACAAACAAGACCATGGGAGGCACCAGTGAGAAGTGTGGAACATATAACTTTAAGCTTTATTAAGAGGGGTAGAGGAAGGCCTAAGAGAACATTATTGGAAGTTGTTGAACGCAATCTCTTAATTAATAATATTTCTAAAAGCTTAGTAAATGATAAAGTACAATGGCGTCTTGCAATCCATATAGCTGACCTCACCTAATGGGATAAAGGCTTGTTGTTGTTGTTGTTGTTGTAGTATAATGGTGTCTTATAAAAACATTACACTTTAATATTTAATAATTTTTATTAATGTTATTGCCAACATTGATAATCAATAATTACCGTGCAGTTGGTCAAAGTAGCCAATCAAAATTTCATTTTGTCTTTCATATGGTAAGAAATAATTAGTCTCTTAGAATATTTAAGGGAATTAATGAATATTAGTTTTCATATAAGATCTTTTAATATAATTTCTTAGGTCCTTTTCTTTAATTTTGTAAGTCAACAAATGGTAAAGCTTAACCTTTTTAACATTAAAGGAAAAATTGCAATGTTTTCAAATGATAAAAGGGAACATTGTATCACAAACAAATAAACAAAAATTAGGATACCAGACACTGCGTCACATATAATTGAGAGGAAAAAATGTCATTTAACTCTTATATAAAATATTGCATTAATTTATATTTTGATATTATTTACAAATTTCAAACTAAAAATTAATTTCATATTGTACCAATTAATTTCAAAACACATCCACTAGGCCTACAAATTTAAAATCATACCCACTTTAGGTAACCAATACATTTATGAGCTTACATATAATCAACTAGCTAGTCAACCAGTAATAAAAAACATGGATCTATATATCACTATCATGGACTGAGTCTAAAGACACGAGCTAATCTCTTGTAGCATGGTTGACTAGTCTAATGATGAAAGTGATTAACCACTTTAACGCGCTTTTGTAGTTGTCACTGTGAGACCACGCATATACTTTCTTATTGGATTGCGTGGCTTTTATGAGTGTATCAAAAGAGGAAAAAAAGAGAAAATGTATATGTAGACTATCCAAATTCCATGTTGACCTAATCCAAAGCTTATCCATTGGAAATTTTCTTCTTCTTTTGTTTTCATCATCAGTTCAGCATATAGATAATATGCCTTCTGGCAGGGCATAAAATGTTGATTAGTCTTGACCTTTGACTTAATTAATGTAATGATAGTTGCACACAACTTAAATGGATGAATACGCATGTGTGACGAGCTGTGTGTGTAGATAATTATGATTTGAGTTGTTAAAGAAAAAAAAGAAATATGATTTAAATGTTGGTCAGAAAAATTATTTGAGCAATACTTTTCTCTTTTACCAGTGGAAGTAATCATGATCAAAACCATGTTTTAGCGCCAAAACGGACGAATAGCATGCCGCTATACCAAAAGATAATTGGCACAAGTAATAAGAGGGAATGACAATAATGTCTCAACTAGAGAATTTATAATAGTTAAGCCTCAATAATTTTTTTTTAAAAAGTAGCAAATATTGATTTAAACAGTTGCAAAGAAGAATAAAAAACATATTTAAATTCAAATTATGACCAAATGTATTGTTAATACTTAAATTAAAGTTATTAATCACTAAGCTAAAGTTGTCAATATAGAGAACGTACTCGTTATTATATGAATAAACTAACAACTACACTTCTATATTAACAACTTTACCTTAGATATTAACAAGTTCAGGTTAGGTATTGACAACTATATTTTTTTATTATTTTGCTTAAGGTCAGAAACATGGTTTTGCATAAAATTTATGTCAAAAAAGTTCCTAAAGATTTGAAAGTACTATCACATTTAGTGGTACGCATTTGTTACTTATCTATTCCGATGGGATTTATTTATCATTTTACTATATTATACTTGAATATCACTTTGCAGCAAGAATAGAAGTACAGAGAAGTATATATGCTTTCATAATATATGAAGAGAACATATACATACTTACTACATATATACAAGTCTTGCCATTCATATTTTTTGAGTCTGAAGTACAGAATTCAAAGTGATATTATTGCTTAAGTAAGAAGAATCATTATAAATAACACAAGCACAAGACAAAAATCAAATGCTGTCACACTTAATTCCCCACATTATTAATATATTTGTCTTGGAATTTATAAGGAGGCTTAATATAATTAGCTCTTCTAGTTCACTCTCCTACAATTCTTCCGGATCTCTCCATTTGGATAAACTAAGGGTTTGATGTCTCCCATTCTGATCATGCCAGCAACAAAGTCATAATCAAAGGCCTTCTTGTTCTGGGCATAAGTCCGAACCAGCGAGTCGGTGGAGCCGCCATTGAAGAGAACTTGATCAGAGTGAAGGAGTCCCTTCTTGTAAAGGAGGTTCTTGAAGTAGCTATTGTCAAAATAATTAGGAGTTGTAACGTCCAAGTTTGCTATAAAATTTGTTGGAGTTCCAGTCCTTGGACAAAGTTGCTGCTTTGACTTGGCAAAAGAAGGGTCAATGTTTATCTCATTATATACTCGATCTATGAAAGTAACACATCTTGCTTGCCCTATTGTGTGGCCTCCTGAAAAATCATTCATATCCACAAGTTAATAAAGTACTTAATTAAATGTTAAAGGGTTAAATGACATTTTGCCCCTTAACTATTTGATCAAGAATATTTGGTACACCTAAACTTTCTTGTGGTGCAATTTTCTTATTTTACATTTAAAAATGGTGCATTGAACACCTACCATTAAAAAATTAATTTAGATTGTTAATTGACTTAAAAATTACAGAAAAGCTTTAAAAATTAGAGAAATGGAACCATAAAACTACATATAAGTATTCTATAAGAAAATTAATATCAATTAAATCCTTTAAATTACATATAGATAAAAGGATATAGATGTTATTTCTTACCCATGTAAAAGGCCAAAATATAATTTTGACCAACTATTATTTTAAAGATTTCATTGATATTAATTTTCTTATAGAGTATTCATTTGTAATTTTATGGTTTCTTTTATGTAATTTTTGTGTTCTTTTTTTTGTAATTTTTTGGTCATTGTTAAAATTAACTTTTTCATGGAATGGTGCTGGTGCACTATTTTCAAATGTTGGTGGGAAAAATTACACCATATATAAATTTATTATACTATAAGTTTTTGAGTAAATATTTAAGGGGCAAAAATATCTTTTAATTGAATATTAAATTACGTATCAACAAAAGTATCATTCATTAAGGTAATTTAGCATTATCGTTTGATGTTTTTCATTGTTTGATCCACTTTGTGATTCTAAATCCATTCATAAAAATTAAGGAGAATATCAATGAAAGACCTCTAAAATACTTTAATATCAAATAAAAACTTGGACAGATCAAATACTTGTCAAAACGTGAACTTTCAGTAGTCAATTATTAATATCTACTTGTCTGATATTAAATCATTTTAGATATCTTTCATTGATATTATTCCTAAAAATTATTGTAAAAGTGAAACTTCTCATAATATATCGAATGATGAAAAATGTTTAATCTTTTAAACATTTAGATATAGCAAGTCAAAATTTCCAGACCCATAGTTTCAAGATGGGTTAAGTATTGGATGATGATTGAAGTGATTTGATGTCATTTATTTTGATATATATGATAAAAATGGGAATTATACTACATCCTTGAAAAATTGGTTAAAATATGAGATTTACTTTTTAATGTAATGTCTGGTATGAAAAAAAAATTAAAAGAAAAATGTGAGACGTACCTAAAAAATGAAATAAATGTACTTCTTATTTTCTTTATAAAAAAATATTTTTTTTACATACCAAATACTGCCTAATATCCACGTAATTTGATAATTGATATAGATAGACAAATTTTTCCACCCTCCTAATTTACGAAAGTGACAGGGTTATGCACGTTCCCCAGGATGCAAATTTATGTGCTGGCTTCTTGGCTAGAATAGCTCATGGTTATCGCAATGACTTTACTAGCTGATAATCCACATGGTTGTAATGGCCTAGTTTTGCTTGACAAAAGTGGGGATGTTTCCCACATGAACTAGACTTATTTGTCTGTGTTTTGTGATTTCCTCTAACTAAATGCTAGCCTCATCCATGAGGGGAAAAAAATTTATGGAAGTGGCATGACTCTATGTAGTGGTTCAAATGTCACATTCAAGTGCATGTCTTGTATTTATTTTTCAAGGACATTATTGAGGTAAATTTAGGGATGAAAATATATAAACCGATGGCTTTTCAGTATTTATTTTTGCTTTAATAATTATTATTCGATCTTTCATATCTTATCTCATATATATATATATACATATATTTTATAATCTTACATTTTTTTTCGCTGTTTTATATCCTGACCGCTACCAACACATATGAAATAAAAATAATAAGGTTTTTCATATGTAATAAATATTTGGATGCAGAAATTCATAAAAAAAATTCATTTTTTAGTATTAAAAAATTTCATGAGATTAACGTCTTGATTTTTCATCACTTTCTGTAATATTTTGGTCAACTAAATAGCCATTTGTTAACGGTATGATAAGAGTAATATTGTACTATTTTGAAATGTTGAAGGAGAATATTGTACTATAAACAAGTTTAGGATTAATTTTGAACATTTTTAGACTTATAGTTTAAGAATAAATTTATCATTTGACTTGAAACGAGAAAGATTTTGTTATAATACCAGATAAAGCAACCATGTCTCGAGTAGAGAGGCCTTGAGCTTTAAATGTAGAGATAAGATTATCAAGATTAGAAGATCCTGGTGGAAGCACACCACTCTGGGCAAGACTAAAGAATGCTGTTTTTGAATCCCTTCTTCCCAATTTAACCTCCCAATTTGGCCCTCCAAGCTGCGTCCATATTTATTGGAATCAATCAATCTTTAATCAAGCCAAAACAAAAACTAATTAATCTAATTAATTAAGATCCTTAATCATGTCAAGCAAAAGGTTAATTAATTCACATGCATATCTGGCATGTCTCTCTGCTCCAATATGCCACTGGGAGAGAAAAAGGGATAAGGATTCTCTCCTATTCCTTTTCCATCCTCTTCCCTTCTTTTCCTTTTTAACCATTAGATCATGATTTAAATGGTTCATGTTTGATTTTTTACAAAATTATTATTAAAATATTAATTTTAAAAATATATGAATAATAAAATTTAGACAGTTAAAATTTAATATAAACAATTAAAATATATAGCAAAAACAAAATATAACATTTTATAAGACATCAAATCTAAACTATTCAAATTTTGATTTAATAATTAAAAATTAGGAAGAGGAGGAAAAAGGAAGGGAAGAGAAAAGGAGAGGATCTTTGCCCGAGAAAAAGACACACACATAAATAGCCAATGGGACCTAACATATTGATAATAGTAGTAATAGAAAGGATAGAAAACTGTAGGTTGGGCTTTGGCCCCCTTTTTTGATTTAAACAAAAAAAAGAAAGGATAGAAAACTATGAATTTTTATTGTTCTTAAAATAGGAGTGTTTGAAATTATTTTTATTTTATTATTTTGAGAACTAGTATTTTATAGAATATGTTCTGAAAATAAAAAATAATAAAAATAGATATTTTTTTTATTCTTCTTTATTCTCCAAAACCTTAATTTCAAAATATCTAAAAGTTATTTTTATTTTTCTGTTCTCTAAAATAATAATTTTTTTTATTCTCCAAAACACTTTTTCTAAACACGTTACCAAACAGATTTCTTTTGTTCTCTTATTCTGAAAAATAAAAAATTATTTCTAAAACAGGTTTCCAAATAGGCCTGTAATTTCTTTTTTTTAAGTTTTTTCTCCTAATGTTCTCATCTTTCTGTTTTTCTTTTTATTCAAACCAAGGAAAAAACTCACCAGAACAACAGAGTCGCGAGCCGCAATGTATACGATATCGGCGCAAGAGACGATGCCGGGGCATGCTGCTTCCACCTTGGACTTGATTTCATCAATCACTTGAAAGCCTCTAACTGATCCATTGTTGGGACGTGCTGTCTTCTCTCCAGTGAATGTTGAAGTGTCATCCAGTAATATTGAGGCATCACAACCCTATAATTTCACAGCATACATAACATTTGTCCGAAAATATGCATCAAATTGAATTAAAGGTACAAAAGACAAGCGCTTGATATAGAGAACAATCTATTTATGACAAGACCAAGCCAGAACTGAAATGTTGTTTGCTTCAAGTTCATAGTGAAGTAAAGTAAAGGCACAACTTGAGGATGATTTAAACATGATTAAATTGAAAGGGAAAAAAAAAGGAACAAATATATATATAGCCTCATCTCAAAAAACAAGAAGAGACAATTTAGAAGTTTGAGAAAGATAAGATAAATGGTATGTAAAAAGGAATAGGAGAAAATTTACATTGACGAAACAGTCATGAAAGAAGAGGCGAAGCAGACCAGCTCCCAGAACAGGCCGTTGGTACACAACTGATTTAACAACAGATCTCACAATGGGGAAAAGATTTGGACAAGTTTTATAATAGAAGTTCTGACGGAGTTGCTGAGCCGAACAGGTCGACCCTGTAATGACCAGGAATAAAGATAAGGCAACAATAATGGCAAAACGTGATGAAGAAGAAGAAGAAGAAGAAAGAGCCATTATATTTTTGCTCTATGAAGCTTCACAGTTTCAAAATATGGCGTGATGAGGGGGAAATATATAAGTGAGTTTGCATGGGGTTTTGACAGTATTACGTCTTGGAAATTCGGATTTTACTATTGACTGATTGCTAACTAGAGTTTTAATTTTTATCAGCACAAACAAGTGGGACTGAAAATTCAAATCATGATCTATTGCTATTTATTAAACATTATACTATAATACCTAAAGCCTCAGCTGGATATTAAGATTATCCTGTAACGGTTTGTTTAGAATTATGATATTTTAACCAACTAAAATTGTCATGAGTTTAGAAACTTTCATCATTTAAATAAGTAGTTGAGAGTTCAAATCTTATCCCTTATATATGTATCAATTTAATTTAGGGATATTTACTCATCTCTTTCAATACTTGGAGAGATATTATCTATTATTAGTGGAGCCTACTATTTATACTCATAAAAAAAAGGAATTATGATCTTCTACCTTTTTTTTAAAGACAACAGGGAAAATAAAGAGAGAAGTTAAGTTCTTATACACTTTGCTGTATTTCTTTCTACGTCTCTAAAATGTTGAGATTATATATACTATAAATAATACATTAGTCAGTACAAACATTAAATTTGTATTGATAATGTTTAAATGCATTAAATTTAATACACCTCTATTGTATGAATTATATTTTGTAGGACCTGGCTAGAAGAATATTGAAAAAAATATGCTAACCATGGTTTTACCTTGACGAGTACACACGCACACACAAAATACATATATTCAAAATTTATCTATTGTTAATAACGATAACATTGATACATCTATAAATTATCAAAGCATTAATGGTCGCAAATCGTAAACTGTACCACTTTCTGCTAGAGCTCTGTTTAATTTTTTAAATGAATTAAAGTGTAAAAATATTCATAAATTTTTTTTAAGAGCATTTAAAATTAATAATAATATATGAATACTCATTAACTTTATAAAAAAAGTAAATATTTTTTAATCTGTTAAAATTATTTGATGTTGATATTAAAAGTTCTAAAGATAGCAAAAATCTGACGTTGACTAAAAGTTATCACAAGCTCTTAAAAAAATTTGAGTATTTTTGCATTACCCTAATATTTTTTATCCGTAGCTTTATATAATATGAGGCTCTTTCTAATTAAGTTATAAAAATCAAGCACACACTTTTTTTGTTGATTAAGGTTATCATTTATTGTGAACGAATTAATCTAATTACAATTGCAAATTACTAATAATAAGTCACAAATTAATTTGAAGAAGAAAGAATTAATGCATTATAAAAGAAAGAAATGTTCATGAATGAGGTATGATCACGACAGTGAGCTATATGAAAATCAATGATCTGCAAAGACTGCAACCCCGATAAAAAGTAACTAATTAACTGTAAGAGTAAAATACAACAACGTCCCTCTATTTTACCTTAATTTCAAATACCTCTCTCTTTTTTTTTAAAACATATATAAACCTCTATTGAAATAAAAAAAAAATTACATAACACATACCTCCCCTTCGAAAATTCCATTTTCACCCATCCAAATATTAATTAACCATGAAATAATATATTTTGAACTAAAATAAGCTTCTTTAAGATAAAATTATTTATGAGTTAATTATTTAAGTTTACAAATAATAATTATAATATATAAGTTGATAAAAATAACAGTAAATATGAATAAACTTATCTATGTAGTGTACGAGTTTAAGATTCATGTAATTAAAATTATTTATGTCTTAATTTCTTAAATTTTAAATATATAAATTGATAAAAACAATATTTTAAATATACATAAATAAAAAATTTAGTAAATTAGAAAATATAAAATAATTAGGAATTTAATATAATGAGGGATAAATTAAATAATATAATTTTTATTTATTTTATTAATTTAAATATATTTTTATGTCTACTAATTTTATTATTTTGTAATATGTTTATGTAAATATAATCATAATATTCTTTAAAATAGGAGGAGAGAAAAGACATTAGATTATGAGGGCATATTAGTAAATCTAAATTTTTTAGTATGTTTTAATTAATATAATAAATCATTTTAAATCTTAAATGAAATATTCGTAAGTGAGTTTTCTATAATTTTAACAAATTTGAAGGGAGGTGATTATATTTTACTCTAAGGATAATTATCTGGTCAAAATATACATAAAAATTTAATTTCCTTCGAAAATGAAATAGGAAAATAAAACCAAATCCAATCATTAATGAGCTTTTTGGTATAAAATATTTAAAAATATAAGGTATTTAATGACTCTCATTACATTCTCTCGATTTACAATAATAAAAATAGAATAATTTACAATGACTCTCACCATTAGTAAATACCGGATCACAACCAATGTCTTTGGGAGTTGGGACCAGATGATTTCAAATCTAACTCAAAGCCGGCACAACTCGGTCAAGGAACAATACTATCTAGAACCATGGCAAATTGCAGTAGAATTAAAAAGCACACCGACGTGGTGATGCAAAAGACAAACTAATTAACATCACTATTTTAATAAAAGGAACGCCAAGTGACTGATGAAGCAAGTTGAAGCAAAGTAAAAAGAGACATATAATGATGAAGACATGAACTGCTAACCGCAAAGGATTTATATGTCTCTGTACATATCTCAAACAAAGCTTGCGTGGGTGTCCTCATACGCTGTTTGTTGTTGGGATCATTCAATATTGAATCAGTCTTCTGCGTTTACGTTTTCTTTTTCTGACAACAATAATTGTATATATAGGACGAGCGATAAAGGCATACGTTGGACCCTGAAAAATTCGTGGATAACTATTTGTGGGACAAAACTATTCTTCCTTTAATGTACACGTTTCTTTTATTGACTTCTTTTGTTTCAAATGAAATTTCTGTTTAAAATAGGTTTAGGTAGCATTTGGGTTGATGGATTTTGATTTTAGATTTAAAATTTTACATTTTAAATCTTTTATTTGAAATTTATGTATTTAAAATATTTGTTTGTATAGTTTAGAAAATTTTAAATAAGAAGAGAGATGAATTGATATTTGAAATGAAAATGGAAGAATGAAAATAATGACTTTATTTCTTTGATTGACAAGAGAGGAGAAAAGATACAAAAGTATGAGGGTATTATTCAAAAAATCTCATCAATTGTATCTTAAAAGATTCAAAACCTTCTGAAGTGTTTGGATTGATATTAATGAAAACTTAAATTTGGAGTTGAATTAAATCTTTCATTTATATACACAAAAATTTTTGAATTTAATTTTGGTTCAAATCCAAATACATTTTAAATTATAATTCTCTTGTAACTTTAAATTCTTTCTACACCTCTTACTCTTAGTCATTTGAAATCATAATTACTTCAAATATTTTGTTTGTTTTCTTTGCATTTTCACCATCGATACCTTTATCACTTTTGTATATTTTCTCATCTCTTGATAATTAAAAAATATAAATAAACTTGACATTTTAAATTTTAAATTTTTGTTTTGAATCTTGTTTAATTTCATCTTTCTTTTTCATTTAAAATTTTTTAAATTACCCAAATAAAGAATTTTAAATGTAAAATTTAAAATACAAGATTTAAAATTTAAATCCAAATCCATTAATCCAAGTGCTATCATTAAAATTTAAAATTTAAATACAAATCCATTAATTCAAGTACTATCTTATATTTTTTAACATTAATTTGATCTCAGAAAAAAATTCCTTATACTTTTCAACATCTTACCTGAAAAAAAAAAATGTCTTATCTTTCAGAAACAGTGCAATGCCATCCAAAATTGACGAATTTACGACTTAGCATGTTGACCATTAATGAGAAACATTTGACTAGAATATGTCCACAGGCACGCCACGTAGGATATGCTCCGCAGTCACGTGGGACATTTGACTAGAATACGCTCTACAGCCACGCCAAGTAGGATTGCACTGAATATGTTGAGTGAAGGAGAGGTCTATGTCGCATAATATACTTTAGTAGTTGAGGATCCAACTTTCAATATTTTCTGGAAAGTAAAATGGAAACCCTATTTGATTGATTTTTTTTTTAAAAAAAAAGAAATTCTGAACATAGTGTGGACAGAAAAAGACTCAAGAAGTTGTCAAGTTTGGGTGAAGCTCTAACGAGAGGAAGTGGCCGGGGGTGAGGAGGGAGTGACAGTGAGAGTGATGATTAACGGTAAAATTGGAAGGATTAATGGGCTTAACGTTAAAAACTTTAAGGGCTCAATTTCAACAAATAAAACTATATGGACTTGATTAAAAATTGAAACAAATTATAAGAGTTTATAGATACGTTTTTCTAATTTTTAATAAACATGATTATATACTTTACAAATGAGATGCCTTTTTATATATCCTTTTCTTCCCAGTCGTTGGATAAAATGTCAATGCATGGGATCCATTCCTTGGAATGAAACTTCTCCAATATGCTACGAATCAACTCAGGTGCGTCATGGGGTTATGAGTTATGACTAAATGATTATTCCATATACAGACCTTGTTGCTTTATCTGGGAATTACTATTCTTCTCTTCTTGTCGGGCATGAATTTTTCCAACAAATAAAGAGGGAATGCGTATAACTGACATCTAATATCCTAATTTTTATTTTTAGAATTTAATTGAGGAATAATAATTATTTTTCAATTAAATTCCAAAGATAAAAACTAAGATGTTAATAATGTCAATTTTTCCCAACCTCAATCATATCAAACAATTTTTAAATAAAAATTGCATAATAAACTAAGAATATTAAATGGATAACAACTGTTGAATAGAGGCTCTAAGAATATTCAACGATTCATAATTGTTTAATATTAAAAAAATAACTGTTTTTTAAATTCATTTTTGCAGTAGTGTCATCTTACAGAATATGCCTTCTAGTAACGAAAAAGGCACAACTTAGTAATGTAATGATAGTTGCGCACAACTTAAATGCATAAATATGCATGACGAGCTCTGTATGTGTATATAATTATGATTTGAGTTGTAATAAAAAAATAATTATGATTTAAATGTTGGTC